TCTATCTATCTATCTATCTATCTATCTATCTATCTATCTATCTATCTCTATCTCATCTATCCAGGTAGAGAGAGAGAGAGATAAAGGAAAGAAAGAAAGAAAGAAAGAAAGAAAGAAAGAAAGAAAGAAAGAAAGAAAGAAAGAAAGAGGAAAGAGACAGACAAAAATAGACAAACATGGATACAGATAGATATTATCAGCAATGTTATCCTGACACTCATATATTCACCTTCACTTGTTTTGAAAGCAACTTCCTTTTTTCCCCCCCATGCCAGACACCCGCCAGTATCTGCATCCAGGTGAAGGGATGTTCCGGAGGCCTACGGAAGGCCAGTCCCTGATCAGCTACCTGTCGGAACAAGATTTTGGCAGCTGTGCAGACTTGGAGAAGGTAGGGCTGAACAAATCCTGAGACAGAGACATCGATTAATCGGTGGGAACCGTGCAAAGGAGCCTCTCAAGTCCTTCTTGTTTTTCTCAAAGATATTTTTTTTTACAAGGTTTAGGTAAAGGTTTAGTCTGGCAAGTTACTGTCTCTTGGACGTGAGCAAATAAAAACTTTAATTTTTGCTTGGATTGTTCTACAGGTAGCCCTCAATGTATGACCATCACGGAGCCTGTCCATTACGGTCGTGACAGTCGTAAAGCAAGTCTCCCACAGCATCAACCCAATTTTACATCCATTTTTGTGGCAGGGGTTAAGTGAACACCATGCTCCCAAAGTGACCATTGCGGTCACAGAGCAAATGCTGTGTTTTTTAAGCAAACCAATTTTTTTCCTATGGGGCCGATTGTGCCAAAAATCAGAAGTAAATGTTAGGTTTCAGGGGGGGAAAACGCTGTAAAACACAGTCTTATAACTGTGGAACAGTGCAAATGGCCATAAAAGTAAGTCAGTTGCTGAGTGCGCCAAATGTGGTCATGTGATTGCGTGTTGGGTGGGGGCATAAAAACTTCAGAACCAAGTCCTAAGTATCCCTAAAAGGAGGGCTGGGGGTTGTAACTTTAAATGGTCACTAATAAGCTGAGGACTATCTATCTATTGAGCTGACGAATGTATTTTTTATGATGACTGTGATCATGATTTGTCACTTAGAGCTTTTATGTACAACGAGAGCTTATGCACCGAAGACAAATTCCTTGTGTGACCAATAAACCTTGGCCAATAAAGAATTCTATGCTATGCTATGCTATGCTATTCTTCATTCCAATATTTATTCCTATTCTAGTCTATTCATTTTCTATTCTTCTAATTTCTATTTCTATTTCCATTTCATTCCATTTCTATTTCTATTTTTATTCCATTCT